CATATAAAATTCTAGGGAATACCAACTAACGTATGATTACAGAAAGCAGAACAGCAGTTGCGTGTGGACAGAGAGGAGGGAGGAGGGGAGGAGTTACAGAGGGCCCCAAGGACCTTTGGGAGTGATGGGTGTCTTCAGTTTCTTGATTATAATGATGGTTTCATGGGTATATGCCTCTGTCAAAACTTAACAAATTGTATATTTTCAACTATGTGCTCTTGGTTGTATGCCAATTATAGCTTAACTGTTTAAAAAAATACTGAACTGAGATACCACTAGATTGGCTAAAACTTAAAAGACCAACAATACCAAAATTGCCAGTGATGTGGAACAGCTGGAATTTTCCTACATTGTAAGTGGGGATGTGAAATTATGCAACTGTTTTTTAAAAAGTTACAACAATTTCTTAAAAGCTAAATATATACCCAGTCTGTGACCCAGCAGTTTCACTGCTAGGTATTTATTCAAGTGAAATGAAAACATGTGCACATAAAAAAGACTTCGACAAGAATGTTTACGGCAGCTTTAGTTTCCAGTAGCCCAGGTGTCCATCAATAGGATTATAACTAATTAAACTCGTACTAATTGAACTCTCATTGTGAAATATTTCTTGGCAATAAAAGAGAACATACTACTGATACACACAACAGCATGAAAGAATCTTAAACATTATGCTGAGTGGAAGGCGCCTTACATAAAAGAGTCCCACTGTGTGATCCCATTTATATGAGATTCTACAGCCAGCAGAACTAATCCATGGCAGGAAAAAAAGTGTTTGCCTCTGGGCTTACTTAAAGGAGCATGGAAATGTTTTGTATCTTAATGGAAGTTTTGCTTCTACAATGTGTGCATCTGTCTAAAGAGCAAAAGTACACTTAAAATCTGTGCATTTCATTGAATGTAAATTTTAAGGCAAAGAAACTGAACAAATACTGAAGTGTAGTTAAAAATATGAATGCCATATTTGGAGAAAGTTTACGGAGGTCTGCAGCTTACACCGAAATGCAGCAAAAAAAGAAGGTGGATTAGCAGATGGATTGAGGGATGGATAGATACGTGATAAAGGAAATGTTAATGATTGTCTGAGTGACGGCTATACTGGTATTAATTGTAAAATTCTTTAGTGAATGTTTGAACATTTTCATAATGGTTTTAATGGAAAAAAAAAAATTATGTCCCGAATTCAGGCTTATACAAAGAATGTTCCTTTTTAACAATTTAGGAATATATGTAGCCACTGTTTGCTAAGATTTTACTTTGATCCCTCCGCCCCCATGCGAGAGTCAATAAATATCTGCCCTTGATGTGACATCGATCGATGGACATTAGCAGAAATTTCAGCACGAGAGCCCTAGCCTTGGCTGTCGCGCCACAGGACTCGCTTCAGATGGGGTCAGTGCGAATGCCAGGCCGGGCAGAGGCCGAAGGCCGGGTCTGTAAAGTGAAAGCCATCATGTTACCTCTCCGTAATACTTGGGGTGGGGGAAATGAGGGAGGGTGGAGAGAATAAAACCCATGTGTAATGTAATGAAATCCACTATTATTTTATGCTAAATCAAAAACTATGAATGGAGTGTTTCTAATTATAATGAGTTGGAATCTAGGGATAATAAAACAATCAAATCACACTGTTCTGATTCCCATACTCCTCAGATCTTTTCCAGGCCACTCCACCCAAAGTGACAATTGACTGCTCATATAAATCACTACTCTTTTTTCTTCTTTGAAACTTACTAATAGAATGCAAACTAAGAGAATTTAAAGTTGTTGATTCTGGGCCTGGTGGATTACTGAGTACAGCATTACTGGTGTGAACCATCTTTTCCTAGTTTATATTGTTTGTGATCCCGTGTTCTTGGCTTTATATCTGAAATAATCGCATGAAATAATTTCTAGCATTCACGAGCTATCACAATGGTCCTCAAATTTTTAATTTTCTTCAGTTTCTTAAAAGAGATACTAAGGAATGCGATCTACTTAACTAAATGTGTATGCATAACTTATAAGTAATGGAAAATTAAAAGCCACGCTATATAAAACTAAAACAGAAAAAGTAAAGACAGTGTTCTTGGGTCTCCCTGAGTAGAGAATGCTCCTGTCTACTTTGAGCAATTTTCTCTTGCTAATACCTGAAGGACGTAAAGGAGGTAATGGGAGAAAATGGGACAGAAATGGGAGAAAATCGTCCCTTTCAAAAGTTTTATGCCTCAGATCACTGCCTGTTCTTCCTGAAGATTCAGTCTTCTCTTTGAATTTTCCACCCCTACCCGGCGTCTGTACAGTGCAGTCTTTTCATAGACTTTTGTAATTAAGAGTCATTTAAAATCATTTAAGTCTAACTTGCTCATTTTACAGAGAAAGAAACTGTCTCAGATTGAAGTACCATTGATTTGTATTGTAGAATGAAGGAATATTAGATCATTCCTAAATAGGAAGCCCAGAAACTTACTGCTCCATTTGTTAACTCTTTCAACATATATTGAACTCCTTTTATTGTTGGCCATTAATTAGGCCCTATGAATAGGTTACTGAATCAGACCGTCCCTACATTGGGGAGTTTGTAGTCTACTTAGAGAATCAGATAATACAATACAGAATGTTAATTGTGCGATAATGGGAGAAAACAGTGGTGTGGGAACACTTTCAGGAAGCTCCTTTTCTAGCTTTGGGTGGAGGATGGTCAGGAAAGCCCCCTCACTGAGGCGAATTCTGATCTGAGCTCTGAAGGGCAATTGCCCAGGCAAAGAATTGAGTAAAAAGGTGTCAGAGCTAAGAGGGCAGTGTCTAAAAAGGTCCTGATGTACAGTTGCACAGAAATTCCCTGTATAATCTAGCTCCGTAATCTCCCACCATTTCCCAAGTAGCACACTTCTGTGTATATAATAGGTGTTTACACTTTTTCTTTGGGCCCTTCATTACATGGAGTACATTTTGCCTTAGGTCATACTCACGCTAATAATCCAGCGCCCCTACTAGACTCTTAAATGCCTTTTAGATAAATGGCCATATTGCTACTTCCCTCTGTCACCTGCAACTGTGCGCTGTGCTTACCACACATTAGATGACCGGTAGGTGTTAACTCCTTGCACAAATGTATCTCCTAACACATCCTTGAGGGTCTTCTCACTCTACAATCTTATCTTTTTAAGCTCTTTCTAGAATCTTTAAAATCTCCGTGGCCTTTTTATAGCCCTTACTGGTTTATCGGCTATGTCTCTCACTGGCTGGAGAGCTCCTAATCTGGAATTTTCACTAATCTGGTTTGCAAAAGTTTGTATTAGTTGGGCATATAACAGCATGTGTTAAAAAATAATGATGTAAACTGATTTTTGGTGTGTAATTAAGTGATTTTAATTTGATTTGAATTAACTCACTTGGTTCTAGCATGGCCGAGTGTCTCACTTTATTGCCTCCTCCCTCCAGATAAACTTGGTAAGATGGGAGAGGGGAGGGTACGGAAGGCAATGTTAGTATTTGAGGCCTTATACCAGGCATCGTACTGTAGCCAAAATAGAATAGTGACCGAGGCCATAAAAATCATTATAAAATAGGCCTTATTGTCATTCTTCCTTTATCAGAATGCATGGCTCTGTCTGTACCCTCTAAAACTCTCATTCTATGACCGTCTGCTAGGGAAATTATAGAGATGAACGTAAGTAACTGAAATACCAGGAAGTAGGAATAAGTGCCATAAATGAGATGTAAACCGAGGGTTATGTGAATTCCTTAGAGGGGATGATATGCTTGGAGCTGGAAGGGAAAATGATGAGGATGAGTCTCTACTGGGTGCAAGTTTGGATAAGATTCTGATAAAGATGAGTTAGTTTCATGTTGCCTGTTATTCCAGGAGCCTTTTCTTGTAAGTAGATATAAAAAGTATATGTAACATTGGGGACGGGGGCAGCGTGGAATATGTGAAAGGTTTGGAACAACCACTGAAGAATGTGATTGAGTGTCAAAGAGAAATTAACAAAATGATTGGCATCAGTGGCAAGTGCCCAAAGTGGCGTGGATTCATAATGTACCCAGGTATACACTTGCAGTGTACTATGCCGGTGCACTGAGAATTCGTATACGTTACCTCTATGTAAATACAAATTATATATATTTATATATAATAAGAAGGCATGTGTCACCGTGCATCTGATTTGTGCCCAAAGTTTACCTTCTTTTCTACTCTCTCCTTCTATATTCCCCATGTATAAATGCAAATTTATATTTATAAAAATAAAGGGGGGGCAGCAACAATATTATACCCACCTCACAGAACTGTTGTAGAAGCTGTTGGTAAACATGTCCAATTGATTGCCAGTTTAGATAGATGAATAGTAATTTGTAAGTTCTAGCTACGACCTAGTGTATGTCATACTGTTTGCTGTTGAGAAGTCTTTCTTACTTTGGAACCAACAAATGTTGCAGGCTGGTTTATACAGAGGGATTGCATGTTGTGAAGTAAAATGAACAAGGGTGGAGCCACATCCCCAGAGAACGCACTTTGAGAAAGACCGCGCGCTAAGTGTCAACTGAAAAATAAATGTCTTAAGTACTGGTGGATATTTCCTTTCCAGTCTTATTGGAAAAAGTGAAAAGGGTTGGTGAGATCTGGAGATCTGACCATTTTCAGAGTACCCGTGCATCGGTTATTCTACCAAATGTGCTGTGACGTGACCATACGCACCCAGTGTGTATGTCACAGTGCGCTCCCTGCACGGGAGCATAGAGACACCTAATGGAAGCAGAGCTTCACGAGACGGAGCTCCTAACATCATCCCTAGTAATCGTTGCTCTAGTGTGTTTCTCTTTTGTAGTGCGGGTCACAGTCAGCTGAACTAATTGCACAGCTCACTGATGGACAACACCCTGCACTTTGAAAAACACTGCTTATTAACAAGATGTTTCAATTTTGAAATACAGCTTTTAACTATTATCAGTTCTCAAAATCATGTTTGTATTTCTAACTCTGGCCACTGGCTTACATTATTTTCTCTTCTGTTAATCAGGTATCAACATGGTTTTTTACCACCTTTTCTGTCTCAGGACTGAAGGACAAAATCCACCATGTGGACAGCCTCCACCAGCTGTTTTCTGCCATCTCTCCTGAGCAGATTGACTTTCCTCCCTTTGTCCTTGAATATGATGCCAGGGTGAGTACCAGCGTTCTCCCTGCCCTGGCGTAGGGTCTTGACTAGCCTGCAGAGCAGTGCGTAGAAGTACCACGTCCTTTCATTATAAGATGATATTAATGCAGTTAGTGTGGTTTAGTAAACTTGATGCTATTCTTTTTCTACAATAACTTTAGAAAAACACTTTCTCCTAGGAGAGGGCTTTTTCCCCAGTATGCTTTTCAATGGCAGGGTTATTTTTTTTTCTGCTACAATTTTTAAGCCAGTGCATGTTTGTATTGTGTTATCTACCACCTTTCAGACAATATCTCTGCCTACTTTCTTAAGATTGAATGGGTTTCATCTGCATAAATAGAACCGGAAGAATCTGTTGGTGTCCATTTTCAGTATTAATCATAAACCAAGGAGTCTATCTTAGTAGTCTTTACACTACTAAAAGTTTCATTTTGCTAAGTTTGTTTTTAAGAGTATCAACCAACAAGTAGTAGTAGTATTTATAGATGCATTTGAGTCTATTACTTAAACACTAATGCAGGGCTACTCTTGAATTTCATCATAGCTCTATTCCCTTGTGTTTATTCACACTGTCACTTCAGTAGTTAAAACAAAAAAAGTAAGTAATATGTTTGGCCAAAAGATCATCAGTCTTCTTATTTAATTATTGCTAATTACACATATTTATGCATGAAGCAGGAAATATATGTGAAGGTTATATTGACTTTGAAATGCATTATTCTTCCCTAATCATTGTACAACATGTATACAGTAATATAAATATTCTATAACACATTCTCTCTCTGACTTCTTTTACTTCAGCTGTGATTTCTGTTCTCTTTTATGTGAAGAGCAAAGTATTTCATGTTGTTCCGAAGGCTAATCTCGTGTTCGGCCTTCGCGCAGAGAGGACTTGTCACGGGAGCAGCTGGGTCATAGGTGTAAAGACTGTTGAATCTGTGGGAGGGAAGAGCATCAGTTTCTATTTATTGCAGGTTGCCGGAGCAGGAAGCAGCCTCACTGTTACTCTTTTGGACTACATACATCACTTTCCTTAATATCTCAAAAAATGCATAGCAGGAAATGTGAGAGTCACAGAAAGACATTTCGATACCAAAATTTGACATGATAATTCAAAGCCAGTGTCTAGGGTAACTCATAACTCATTTTCTGGGGTAGAAATGTGCCAGTTGGACTGTATTAGTTAGAAAGCTCAAAGGACTGTTTTTTAAGCCAACATATTTCCTATATACTTATGAGCCTAGAAAGCAGGATTTCATTAAATATTAACACACACTTAAGCTTGGTTTTGTTTTTTTGTTTTGTTTGTATATTTATTTTAGGTTTTTTAATATTTTGTATCAAATGCAGGCCTAATTAATATGATTAATCAAAATTAATACCATAACCTATAATCTATATAACACTTGGGCCACTGGGCCATCTCTCTGTACCTGTACTAGTAGCTTTCTAAAATTGAGATATTAGACCATCTATATGTAAAGGCCAAAGAGAGCAATAAAAAGAGGGAAGAAAGAGAAGAGGGTGTCAGGAGATGACGTGGAAAGGGCTGGCAGAGGGCAGATTCTCAGATGCTGGAGCCTTGTACATCGTGCTGTGGTTCAGGTGACCCTTGAACAATGCGGGGTTTAGGGACACCGACGTTCCACACTGCCAAAATCACACGTGACTTTTGACTCCCCAAAGACTTAACTACCAAGAGCCTACTGTTTCCTGAAAGCCTTACTGTTAACATAGTCAGTAAACATTTTGTATATTATATGTATTATACACTGTATTCTTACAGTAAAGTAAACTAAAGAAAAGAAAATGTTATTAAGAAAATCATAAGGGTCTACAGCCATATCACCCTGAACACGTCCGATCTCATCCACTCTCAGAAGCTACGCAGGGTCTGGCCTGGTTAGTACTGGGATGGGAGACGATCAGAAAAGAAAAATACATTTAGGGTACAGTATGATAAATTTACATTGTCTGTTTACGAGGTATTGATAAATCATCTCTGTCAGTACCTACATCAGTATTGTCTTATAGGATACAAAACACTGTAGATGTTATATGTATTACTGACACTAGATATCAAAAGTGAAAAGATATTATGAAAAAAGAAATTCTCCTTTATTTACAGGTATTCATGTATTGATAACGAAGGAGCAGCACTTCTTTTGTTTTCTAGTAGCTTAGTGTAGCCAATACTTGCTTTACAGTAGCCTTGCTTATATACTAATGAATGAATCATTATAAAAATTTTATGGCATACAGTATTACTGTCACAGTCATCGTGCATATTGGAAACATTGTTTCATTTTTAAAACCTGTGATGTTGGCTGATGAACAGTTTCTCCAATTAAGAGAGGGAAGCATGTTGTATGGCAGTATAATTTCTTGAAAGTAAAGTTATAAAACAGTAAGAAAACTAACACTATTTTATATTAAACATCGCTCACCTTATGCCTATGCACATACAGGCTGTTCACTTCCATACCAGCCTTGCACAGGGTTCTGCATGATGAGCACTTAGGCGGTGATGACGATGAAGACACAAAACATCTCATACATTTCTCGCCCTAGAGGAAATAGACTTTCATATGAAGATGCACATACACAACAGATAAATTTATTAACCAAATGGCACAGAGATTATTTCCTCTTCATTACATGGAAGTGGATCATGATACAGGTCTCCGTCCTCATCATTTGCATGTCGAGCCGGCTGAGGAGGAGAAGGAAGAGGGGAGCTGGTCTTGCTGTCTGTCTCTGGTAGCAGAGATGGGGGAGGGGGAAGGGAGGCAGAAGTGGGCACACTCAGTGTCACTGTGGAAATACACGTACATCATTATTTCTGCCTGACTTTTTTCTTTTTCATTTCTCTAAAAATGTTTCCGTAGGGTACCAATCCTTCTTCCACTGTTTGCTTTAGTTTCAGTGCCCATATCCTAGAAGGGTCTGTGTTGTAAAAGGTCAAAAGCAGTCTTGACTCATCAGAATCCTCCTGCCAGGTTGGCTCAGGTCCGTTTGGTTTCTGACATTGCCTCCTCCGCGGCAGCGTCCGCCTCCGCGTCGTCCAGCACTGGTTCGGAAGCTCGCATCTCCAGCAGGTGGTCTTCTCTTAGCTCCCCTGGCGTGATGCCTGTTAGCGCTTGAATTTCTCCAAGATCCACATCTTGAAGCCTTTCACCCCCGCCCCCCACCCGATCGCCACCCCCACAGTCGTGATCACCTTGATTGGCTCTTGGAAATCCTATGAAGTCATACATCTGGACCCACTTTTCTGTAGCAGGAGTTTATTGTTTGGGGCTTGACGGCCCTCCCAGCTTTTTCTGTAACAATGGCATTTTCAGTGGCGTAGCCCTTCCAGACTTTCACGAGCTTCCCTCTGCCAGCCTTCTCTTCCAGGCTGTTGACAACCCCTTCCATAGAGCACTGTGTGTAATGACGTTAAAGGTCCTTGTGACCCCCTGGTCTAGAGCCTGCAATAGAGGTGTTGTGTTTGGGAGCAAGTAGGCCACTTAGATGCCTTCGGTGTCGAACTCATGGGTTCTGGGTGGCCGGGGGCACTGTCTAATATCGGAGAACTTTCGAAGGCACTCCTATACTGGCAAGGTACTTTCTGACTTCAGGGACAAAGCATTGATGGAACCAATCCAGAAAAAGGGTCCTCCTTGTCCAGGCCTCCTTTTACTACAACCCAGAGATGGGCACCCGCTGTTTGTCTTGTCCGTCAAGGCTCGGGGGCTGGCAGCTTTGGAGGTGAGGGCCGTCCAGCATTTGCATGAAACAGTCAGGTTAGCCTGCCCTCCAGCCCTCAATCCTGGTGCTCGGGTTTCTTCATCACGAATAAATGTCCTTCACGGCATTTTTTCCAGAATAGGGCTACTTGTATCTACATTAAAAACCTGTTCAGGCGGGTACCTTTTCTCCTCAATGATTTTCTTAATGGTGCCTGGGAACTTGCTTGCTGCCTCCTGCTCTGCAGAAACTGTTCTGTTATTTTGACATTGTTTAGGCCAAACCTTTTCTAAAATTATCACATCAGCCTTTGCTGGCATTACATTCCCCAGTTTTTAGAACCTTCGCTTTCCTTATGCTTCATCATACAGTGACTGAGCTTTTTCTCTAATCATAGTAGAGTCGGTAGGTGTGCAGTTCTTAGAGCGAACTTGCACCCACATGGAAGCTGCATTTTCAACAGGAGAGGAAAGTGTGTATTTCACAGAAAGTACAAGGTTTTTACATCTGCTGGTTTTGCTGCAGCGACGGCTTCACAGACTTTTTTCTTTTTTTACAATGGCCTTTGCACTGGATTCATTTATCGTGACCTGGCGGGCAGCCACCTCTGTGGACCTCGATCCGTGGTACATAGCCAGCACTCCAGCCTTCTCTTGTAATGTCATGACTTTTCTCGCTTCTTGGGTGTTATTCAGGGTTTATAGTATTGTGCTAAATGCGAAACACAAGAACCCTGAGAGATCACTGTTTCCTGAGGTACGCAGTTTCCTGGAGAGACAGGCTGCTCACGTGACGGTCATCGGAGGTGGTGGAGATCACACAGCGTGTTAAACAGATATTTGCTGCACTTGAACTCACCGCAGTAGCAACAGGAGGTGGTTAGGAAATTATTACGGTAGAACAGTATATACTACATACAATTTTATGTAGTTATGATTTAATACTTCACCTTCGCATTTGTTTAGATTTCAAGTGGGGCCAGGTACTGTCAGTGTGTGTGTGTGTGTGTTTTGATAAATTTTAACTTTATAATAGATTTGTGGGTATTTCATGATAATAAATGATAAAAATAGACTAGTACCTATGTATATTTGCATCAGTGATATACCTAACTTTTTAATATTTCTAAGCTCCATAGTTTGCAGGTTTTTTCAAATGTTGCAAATCTTCAAAAAAAAAATTTTTTTTTTTAATCTGCATATAAGTGGACCCATGCAAGTCAAACCCATGTTGTTGAAAGGTCATCAGAACTTTGGCTTTGCAGTTGGTGGGGGACATTTTGCAAGGGAGAGCGGCCACTATAGTCCTGTTAAGAAGGACAGCTAAGGAAGCAGCACAGAGAGACTAGAGAGGGAAGGATAAGACTACAGGCGGGGAGGCCAGCAAGAAGCCGGCAGAGAATGCCGGAGGAGGCGTGGGACTCAGCGAAGGCCGCGGTAGTGATGATGGCAGGGATTTGAAGATCTTAGAGAGATTTAGACCTAGACATTTTAGGAAATAAAATCCACAGCATTTGGTAGCTGAGAAACTATTGGGGGGATGAAGAAGGGAAGATACCTACAGTGACTGTCAAAGTTTCTGCGGTGGGAGGTTGGTGGATGGTGTTACCACCACCCCAGAAAGGCGACTTGGAGGCGGGGAACTGGAGGGAAGAGACAGATGGTGTGTTCCCTTTGTGACATGTTACATCTGAGGTGCCCATGGAACATTGAGATGGAGGCACAGGGAGTGATTAGATGTTACCTTATAAGGAAACCTTTTCCTTTGCAAGGAAGAAAAAATATGATTAGAGAAAAGGAAGTAGTACAGAGTTAGATAATTTTATTATCATGTTCAGTTACACCTTGCACATAGTATGTTCTTTATTTGGTGGTGACATGGTGCAGTGTTGGTCGTTGGCCAGTCTCACTGGACTTCTATTTTTCTGGGTCTTATGTGACTTAGACTAGTGAGGTAAGTTTTATAGGATTAAAAGAAAGTTTTGAAGGTAATTAGAAGTTAAATTTTTATTTATCTGTGTCTTTGAAATGGTACTGAGACCATTTTAGAAAGGAGCTACCAGTCAACATTCCTAGGGATATAGTCAAAGAAGAGAATATACAAATCTATCTGGTAACATTCATTAAATTTCTGTTATTGTTTCCAAAAATAGAGAAAATGTTTGATTGCTTAGCAGTCTCTTGCACAATGTGAGATTAATATAAAAAGCTCTATTTTGTATCATTGGGATGGCTTTGCCCTTCTTACTTTATCACAATTTAATGTAGATATGAGAAACCTCAAAAAATACGGTGGTAGGTAGAATGGAGAAATCTGGAAGATGGATGGTGAGCCCTTTCTTTTTAGATGAACTGCAGGTTTATCTCTTCTGCATGTTTAAGTGTACCTGCCGTGCGTGCTTAGGATACAGAAGTGGTTAGTATAACAGATCCTGTTCGGAAATTCTAAAATACAGGGGAAAAAGTTTTCACTGATTTTTTTCTCAAATACCCTGGAATGTAGCCAATCCTAGAATTTAAAAAAAAAAATTTTTTTTAATATAGCCAATCCTAGGATTTTTTTTTTAAACAATATTTTTTGATGCCTGGTCAGATTTATTATGAGAAAATAAGTTTTTCTAGAGATCCTCTGGTGTCCTGGTTCTGGACCCAGGATGAATTCCTGCCCAGGGCCTCTGCTCTGAAGAAGCTTTTGACCCAGTCACTCCCCACGTAACTGCGCGCTGTGTTCACGACTGGGTAGATTTAATGCTCATTATAACTATCAAGTAAACATACCATAAAGCAATGCTGTTTTTATCCTGCCTCTCATTCTCCATTCCTAACTACTACCTTACATTAATGCCACACATTTTCTGCTTAAGGTTTACTGAAAAATGGGTTCTTTTTCAGAGAAATGCATTCCTTAAAAATGAGAAATGAATCTTCAACCTCATAAATATAATCTAGCCTCCATCTACACTTGAGTTACCGCTTTGATTTTTATTAAGATAATGTTAGCCACAATGAGGTCAAGAATTTTCCCTGACACTGATTCGGTGCCTTCTATATTTGGCAATAAAGTGCTGGCATTTATAATCAATAAGTCTCCATCTTGGTCATGAACTAAATGCCCTGAGAACTGTGACTGTTATAAGCCTTGCGACCCAGGCACGTTACGGAGAAGACTCACTTCTGTCAGAGTTATTAAATTCCTCAGTGATCATTCGTTTTGTCATGTAACTCTGCATTCAGACTCAGCACACAGAAGGTCGCTCAGCCTGACAAAGAAGAACCTGGGCATTATATTCAAATAGCCGTGGATCTAAACTTAGGCTCTCCTGGTTACCAGCTAGCTGTCCGGTGGTGACTTACGCCACCTGCGTGAGCCTCAGTTTCCTCTTCTGTAAAGTGAGGGTGTCGCCTACTCCATGGCATTATGTGAGGATATAAAGGGATAAGAAAAGAAAATTGCCGATAAAGTTTCTGGTGCATGGACTGTTCGGTAAGTGGTAATGCTGTTAAAAAGTAACATCACGACTACGGGCACCTGTGGCGCACCATCTCGGACGGGTCCCAGAGGAGCTGCTCCAGGGCCCCGGGCCTGCTCCGGGCTGGCGTGTACCAGACGCTCCACGTCCACCACGCCATCGACTATAAACCCCTTTCTCCCATGTTCCCAGGCAAAGCGATCTTACGACTGAGTGTTCTTGTCTTTTTTTCTTTCCGCAGGAAAATGGGCCTTACTACACATCTTGTCCCCCATCACCGGATTTGTGACCTGCCATCATGCAGTGCTCCTGGTTTCTGAGGACACCACCGTCTCCCCAAATCACTACCTGTTGAAGTGATACTCATTTTTGCTGTACAGATCCAGAGAGACTTTTGTCCCCACCTCTCTGGTATTTTTTTATTAACTGTATATTTTCTGGCACATAAGCAATCTGAAAATGGTAGACCATTCTGAATTGCACACTTATTTTCAATTTGTATATTTGTATCAAATGAAGATGTTCATTTTTAGAGGGTTGTTAATAGAAATTGGGGAGCAGCTTTTGAGTGTCTTCAGTTTGCTGAAAGGACACTGGATTCGCCGTTAGACAAGCCACCAATACTGTTCACATCATCTCTTTAACATTGCACGCTTCCTTTGTGTACTTGAATATTTCTCAAAATACATAGAACCAGTGTATGCTGACCGGATGCATTATTTGCTTCAGATCCTGGCATTATGTTTTATACAGATAATGTGGTATTGATAAAAGAGAGCTGTCTGGGACCAAGGATGTGGAAATGTATATGATCAGAAGCGTCAAAATCATTAGCAAAATACAGGTCTTAGAATTTCACTGTACCAGTTAAGACGAAGTTTTAAGAACTGAAGTTCCTTGGAGCGTATGATTGTTAATATTATTCTGATTTCAACAGTGGGGGAACAGGAAGACGGTAGGTATCTTCAGCCTTTTCCCTGTGCTCATGGAAAGAGATCATTGATCTCGTTATTCCAAGGGACTGTGCTTGTTAGTACTCTGAAGTGAGGGGCATCTCCTAAGACTCCATCGGCAAGCCTGAGGGAGTGAGCTGTCTTCCCAGAGTCATGAACGATCCTGTTCAGCTGTTCGAACCACCCCCTTACAGACTCATCCTGGTTGTGTCCATCAGCATAGAAGAAAATTCGAGACCGCATGTGTCACTCCGATTCTGTTTGTGCCTTAGCTTGCTTATGAATAAAAATTAGGATTATGCCCCCTACCTCACAAAAGTATCACAAGGATGGCATTTAGAAAGGGCTTTTGATGTCTTTGGATAAAAATACTAGGGGAGCTTGTGCGGTGGGGTGTCTTCGGTCAGCTTTTTCAGTGATAACAGATGTACTTGAGGTAGTGCTACAAGCCAGGCCTCTTGTCCTTGGCACCTTTGGAGTGATTTTTTTTCCCTTGGGACAAGAGTTGTTAGAGCAAAGTCCCAACCCTGACGACCTCCTTCCTGCTTTGTCCAGAATTTCTCCTGGCCTCCTTCTCCCCCAGTGCTACACTTTAACAAGAGGCATCTGTCAGCCGTTTTAAGCATTTCTTCTTGAATTAAGGTCAAACCATTATCATTTCCATCTGGGTGTCTCTGTATTCTTTTTCATTCCTGTACCCACCCAACTCCTTCACCCCAGCCTGCACACTGGCATTTTGGAAAAGAAAAGGGAGACGTCTGTTCAAAGTGCTGGGGATTGCTGCTTCCAAGGGTCCTAGTCCCCAATGCCCAAATTAATTCTTCAGTGGAAGTAAAAGAAACATACTTCTCTTCATTTATGATAGAGAAATCCCCTATAGCTGTGATAATTGCATCCTGTATTTTCCCATATAAACAAGAAGGAGCTTTACATTACTTAGATGAGTGTTCTGTTCTTTTGCATGTAATGGGCACATTTGCTTCCTGTAGGGAATAAAAACCACTTGTTTTTTACATGCTTACTTGTCAAGGACTCCTGGTGACTTAGGCCATCGGGACCAGTGAGCCAGTGAGATGGCTGGTATTACACTTCCTCTCAAACAGTAATTCTTTAACCCCTTGAGCCTCGAGCCTTAAAGATCTGAAGAGGTAGCTTCATCTTCTCCAGGCAATTGCTAGGTCATGCTCAAGATACCTTTTCACTAGGAGCAGCTATAAAAATATGCCAACCTGGCTTTTTAAAGCTGGACTTGGCTACCTCAAATTGGCATCGGGCCCAAATCATTTCCTCTATAATCAATAGAGGCCGCAAGCTACTTTGCCATTTGCAAAGAAGCAAATGTCTATATACAATTTCTAGGCAGTAATGTTGAAAGGATGTTCCCTTTGCTGTATGTATACAAATATATTAATACTTGGCACAGCAGGATTCTACGTAGACCACGGTTCTTGTTCAATTGACGTCCTAGGGTGTAAAGGTGGTGTAGGGCTACGTGCCTATCACCTGCATCTCGTAATGCAGTGGAGACTCGGTGCGGGCCCACGTTCATGCTTTCGTAGCTGTCTCCAGTGGCATGCAGAGCAGTTTCTCAGTGTACCAAAGGCCCAGTGGTGGAACAGAATGGCCCTGATGTTGAAGTGATTAAGGAATGTTCAGCCTATCTCTGCCCCGTCGCACTGTTGGGTTGCCTGGATAGCACATGCCGTTTTCAAGGACACGTTTGAGGAGGAAAGGGTGGCTGGGTGTGGATGACCACCAGCATCTGATGTTAATCAGAGCACCACCGAGTCCTTAATTCGATTAAACTTTGGTCATGCCAAATGCTAGATGAATAGAGGAGGAAACAACTTACAAAATATTAGGTTATTTCATTAGTTAAATCATGCAAGGCATAATACGATTTTTAAAACAAGTACATCTCTTCAGCATACATTTGGATTCGTCACCTTGTCTGCATCCAAGTTTCTTGACAGTCACAATAACCTCTTGAAAAAAGCTTAGTCTTTATTAGACTCTTAAGGTTTAAAGACCAAAGTGGTTCATATTTTTAAGTTTTCTTTTCTTTAATGTATAGATATACAGCTGATTTCATCGGCTGGTGCTCCTTTTATTTATTTATTTATTTTGAAGGACTCCCTCTAGTAGTTTGAGAGTAATCAACAGAAGGTTTTCAGAATATTTTTGGTAAGAAAAATTGATGTAGATTTTTTTATCAAATATCTGAAATCAAAAGGATAAAAATATCTCCTATTTGTAGAGATAGATGAGTATAATCACTTTAGTAGGAAAAAAATGGTTAGTCTATTTCTACCTGTTTTCTATTTGTTGAGATACTGTGTAATGGATTCAAACTGTAGGAAATGGTTTAAACTTTTCTTTGCAACAGTTAATGGGAAAGCTGTAAAGTGTAGTTTCAGTGTTAGCTAAAAACTACTTTTTGTGTTTCCCTTGATACATTGTTTATGTCTGCATGTATATAGAGTTTAAATTGCTTAATATATGAACAGAAATTATTAGAATTTGAAGTATTAGAAAGAGAACTGTATGGCTCTAGGAGCAGTAGATTGATTGGATTGTGGACCCAGAGGACTACACGAGAGTGTAAAACCTCTAGAACTGGAGGTAGCCAGTGAGTTTCGGATTGTGCTTCTCTTAAGTTACGGCCATTATAATTAACATGCATGAAAGTTTTTTAGCTGTGCTGGCAATTTTGTTATATACCTCATGGTATATGATTGATTCTTGGTTTGCGATTGCCTGAGAGCAGGAAGGATAAAAGAGGGTTCTAGCTGTGATATAGGTCATATCAAACAATAAAAAAACTCAAATTATTGAGACTGCCTAGTAGGCCTAACCATATACACGCACACAAACACATACATATGTTTATGTATACATACAAAATAATCTGCTTTGCTTTACATCCTTTGAATGTGATTTTCTATGGCCCATATGTGAAGAAAATAGAGCAATACATTTTTAATTCTACCAAAATGGCCCTTTAATAGTATCAAGGTCATTTTAGATATTACTGGCTCTCAGATATTAGTTGTTAATTCTGTATTCTGTTTTCAAGGACAGTGTCTGAATCTTAAGTACAGCATGCCTTAAATGTACAGAACTACTGAGTTCAAGAAGAAAGCAGAGAAATTCTGTAGGTGAATTAAACTAACAAAATCATAGCTGCTGAATGTAATCTACTATTTTTGTTTAACAGTTAAAACTAATACATTTTACATACACAGTCACACTTTTTAGAAATGAATTTTGCCCTGGCCAGTGTAGCTCAGTTGGCTGGAGAATCATGCCATAAACCTAGAGATTTGGGATCAATTCCCAGCCAGGGCACATGGCCAGGTTGTGGGTTTGGTCCCCCATCAGGGCATGTATGAGAACCAACAGATCAATGTTTGTCTCTCACATCATGTGTCTCTCCCTCTCTTTCCCTCTCTCTAAAATCAATAAGCATGTCCTCAGGTGAAGGGGAAAAGAAGTGTTTCGGTAGTGTAAGCATGCTGCCACCATAAACTGATCCAGGACTTTGCCGGACCAGATCATGTGGACCACAACATTTAAATGAGAGCTTATTGTATGGAAATGATTGTTATTGGCCATAGGAGACCGAAAAGTGTTTTGATGGACGTAAGATTTATTTACTCAAAATTCAGAAAGCTTTATGAATATTTTTAATTTAGAAATACACATCAGTCTTTCTGAGTTGAAAGTAAGATCCCTTTTCAAGAAGTTCCCACTCTGCTGACACAGCCTCTGAAGAGCGAATAGTAAAGTGATGGTGTTTGTATGGATTCCAGGGGAGGACAGTCTTCCTCGGCCACTTCATGCCTGGCATTTCTCTAACCAGCAGACTTAACCAGCAGAGCAGGACAAAATGCTGTGACTTTTACAATCAACCTCCTCTTTGGAGATCTAGAGTAATGCTTCTTAGACCTCCGTGTGCATATATTGCGTCAGCAGGGAATATATTAAAATGCAGATTTTAATACAGCAGGTCTGGGAGGGGAAGCTGGGTGCTGTTTTCAGCAAGCTCTTCCATGATGTGAATGCCTCTGCTCCCAAGACCACACTTGGGGTAAAAGATCCTAGACTTGTTGAGCTGCCTTATTTCCCCTGTTTTGAGGCAGAGACCGAACTGTCATTGTAACTCCTCCTGTGGGCTGGGCACACCCACTGATTGTCTCATTTAATCCCCCTACGAACCCTCCGAGGTAGGTGGTGGTAGAGGTCATGTGACTCCTGGAGCCCACACGCAGCCAGTGCAATACAGACCCTTGTTTCTTGAATTAGGAAATATTCTCTTAGTTCCTCAGTTTTTACTTTATTTATTTTAATGCTTTCTAAGTGTATATAAACATAAAGCTGCATATAGATGCCTTAGCTTGTAGCTCTTGCACAAGTCTAAAACCTAAAGAAGTTTACAGATCAGACGTAAATAAAGCTGTGAAACTAATGAAATTCAAGATAACATTAATTAAATATGATAGAAGGTGATGCTTTGCCAAAACGAGACTGTCACATGATTATGGTACTGCGTGCTACAGTAAAAGTTCTTTTGAGTTCAGCATGAGTTCAGCATGCACGTATTACCATGTGCTGTGGTACTGACTCAATTCTCCCACTATTTTCCTCTGTTCAGACTGTTACTTTCATTTGCTGGGCACATAGTGATGTCATTTGGTCTGCATCTGGCTTGGAAGCATCAGTTCCCTATTAAGTCAGTCTCTGTTCTGCATGAACCTTCCACAACTAAAGCAGAACCCTGCTCTAACGTGCCAGTGAATACAAATGCAAACTAGGCACTGAAGTGTTCTGGTAATACTTGATTTTAAAGCATTAATCCAGATAATTCAGAACATAATTATTTTTAAAAAACTATCAACATGAAAAAATATCTCATGCATTTCCCTCCCCCAAAACACACACACACATACACACACAATTCTTTCCCTTCCTCCCTCTTTTCCTCACAAGAATTTTCTAAAATTTTTAATTAAATTTACTGGAGTGACGTTGGTTAATAAAATTGTATAGGTTTCAAGTATACAATATATAATACATTATCTGTATGTTGCATTGTGTTTACCACCCG